CATAATTTGTATTAAAAAAATAAAAAAAATCTTGAATTATAAAATTAATTGGTTAAGATTACAAACTGGAGACCAGAAAGTTAAGAGAGGAGGGGAGAAGTCACAAGTTGCCGCTTGAGCCCAGCATTCCTTAAGGGGTGTAGAGGTTCTCTCTGGCTTCCCACCATTGATGCAAGAAGCTACTCAAGGTAGTCAAGGAGAGAAGCAACTTAGAACTGAGGAGAAATTTCCTGACAGTTAGAACAATTAATCAGTGGAACAACTTGCCTCCAGAAGTTGTGAATGCCCCAACGCTAGAAGTCTTTAAGAAGATGTTGGATAATCATTTGTCTGAAATAGTGTAGGGTTTCCTGTCTAGGCAGGGGGTTGGACTGGAAGACCTCCAAAGTCCCTAGATGTTTCCAATACCCTGAATGAGTTCCAGCACTGATAACTGTTTTTCCATTATGGTTATGTCCTGGTGAAACTTTTCACCATGTTCGTTACTGACAAGAACTAGATTTTTGGGGAAAGAAGTCCCAAGTGTGAATTTGGAATATAAATCTGTGACATGTTGCACTTCATGGTCTCGTATGCTGAAACAAGTTATCAACCAATTGAATGTAGTTTGGTACTCTGTAGTTGCCAAGAAAAAAATCTCAATGACATCCTTAAATGTTTTCCAGACCATTTTCTCTGGCCCCACTAACATATCTTTGAACCGCTTATTACTGATGACATATCTGATCTGTGGACCAACAGAAATGCCTTCCTTAATCATGGCATCAGGGATTCTTGGAAACGTGGTTGAATGACAAAACCTTCACTTTCCTTGGTCACTGCTTTCAACACCCCCCCCCCAAAAAAAAGTTAGTCTGAGGTTTATGTGAAATGGAGGCAAAAATGTCTTTGTTGGGTCAACAAGTGGCTCAAGTGCTGTGCTTTTTTACCTTGGAACCAAATTCTTCAGAGTGGTCATTTATTTTTAATATAACCTGACTCTACTGCATGACTATCCCATTCCGTGACCCGACAAATGCGCGCACGACAAAAGCGCGCCGACAAAACCGCGATGTCATCAACGCGCAGACAACAGCGCGCAGACAGAAGCGCGATTTAAGGTAAGGGTTAGGGTTAGGTTTAGAGCGTGCTTCTGTCGGTGCGCTGTTGTCGGCGCGCTTCAGCGCTCATTCATAGGCGTGGTTTAGAACTCGCGGTTTAGAACTCGCGGTTTAGAACTCGCGGTTTAGTCGGGCACGCTTTTGTCGGTCGCCCTTTTGTCGGTGAACCATCCCATTCGTATATCTCCACAGATATTTCAGATGTATTTAGTGTATTGGATCTGCTTCATCAACAGTTCCATGTTTTCATATGTTTCTTTTGTGAGTGCAGCATAACCAACAAGCTGAAGGGTACATATTGTCATTATGTAAAAATAGGAAATCTCTATAAAACGGTATGTGATATGTTAAAATTACAGTTATTTTCATGATTAACAGCCAAACGTCTATAAAATACACTCAAAAGTTTTCAGGAAACAAAATCATTGTTGTCTAGTACAGGTTGTCTTCAACTTATGACCAAAATTGATCCCGAAATCTATGTTACTAAGACAGGAATTTGTTAAGTGAGTTCTGTCCCATTTTATGATCTTTTTTGCCACATTTGTTAATCACTACAGTTGTTAGGTTGTTATCATGGTTCTAAACCCATTCTGGCTTCCTCATTGACTTTGCTTGTTGGAAGGTCGCAAAAGGAGATCACATGACCCTGGGACAGCGCAACCATCATAAATATGAATCAGTTGCCAAGTGCCTGAATTTTGATCACGTTTCTGTAGCAGTGGTGGGTTTCAATTGATTTTACTACCAGTTAACTGTTAACTGTTTATTTCATTTGTATGCCGCCCTTTTCCCCCGAGGGGGACTCAGGGCAGCTCACAACTCAACTCACTCGTGTTTCTGTGCATGTGCAGAAGCATCCGTGCAGGTGGATGGAGCCTCCCGCTGACGTCACTACCAGTTCGCCCGATACAGGGTGAACCAGCAGAAACCCACCTCTGGTCTGTAGGGAGGTTGCAATGGGCATAAGTATGAAAAACGATCAGAAGTCACTCTTTTCAGTGTTATTGTAACTTCGAACATTCACTAAACGAACTGTTGTAAGTCAACGGCTACCTGCATTTGTTTTCCTCAGATAAACTGAATAAATTTTGAGCTAGCAAATGAGTTTGAAATTGCTGAGTTGTTTGACTATTGAAACATACTGGTTTTTTTGAAAGTTGTTCTGATATCATGTTAAGAGATTGCCTGTAATTTTCCTGGGGTACTGGAGCTGCTACTTTTACAGAATTTTCGCTCCTGACAGGGGAGGCGTCCTTCAGTCTGTTGAAGTGCTCTGCTTCCGAGACCGGACCATGCAGGGAGCCAGAGACATTTCCCACAGCATTCTTTTTGAAGTAAAGCTTCCACAGCTGACAAGCAGTTCAGGTAACCCTTCTGAAAGATAAATTTTTTATGATGGATTTTGTTGCTGCTTGTGGAGTGTGATAGGCGGGGTTATTTGGTAATTCCTGAAGAGAGAAGAAATAAAAGTGCTTCTATTTCTGTAAATAGAGGCCTGCTTCAGCCTTAGTTAGTAAAATATCTTTAGAAAGATGTTTTACTAAGAAAGATCCATTTCATCTTATGCCAATTTTGAGTTTTCTTTGTTCCTGCCAGTTGTCTATGCTTCTATTGTCATCATAGGCTCCAGAATTGGAGCTCTTAATCATGAGTCTTAATCAGTAATTCAACAATTGGCAATGTGTTTAATTACTAAAACATTTCTAGTTTCAAATTCATAATTCTGTTTCATTTAATAGTTACGTTTTTTGTTATGCTACGTTGTCCAAAAAAGGCAATGTGCTGCTTATTCACTTCCATCTGAACTCATCATTTAGCTCTGTATGCTTCAAGAATACAATTAAGTAGTACTTATGTTGTCAATATATAATCTATTTTATGACCAAGATAATTATTACATTATGCTAACATTCAAAAGATCCTAGATCTAAATTAGTCTGTCCTTTGACGTGCATTTGCCCATCCTGTCTGTTTATCATATAAAATCTTTGAGAATAACTTCAAAGATGTGGCTGATGGTGACATACAGGATTACTTCTTCCAAAATGGCTGCATTTGAGTAGGCTTTCCATTTTTCTACATTAATTTTTCTGTGTACTTTTTTCTTCTTTTGGTGTTTTCCTAATTCAAGGGTGTAAAACTCAAGGTGTGCGGGCTGAATCTGGCCTGTGGGCCTGCCTTGGAAATAATGAAGGAGTGGTCTGTGTGCCTCTACCAGTGAAAACGGAGCTCAGGGGGGGCTCCGTTTTCACTGGCAGAGGGCTGGAAACAGAACCTCAATGAATGACTTCACGCTGGCCACACTTATGCTGGCCATGCCCCCCCTACTCCCTCGAGGTCAAAAACAACCCTGATGTGGCCCTCAATGAAATGTCTCAGTATTGGGTATGTTTTTGCCTCATTTAAAAGAGATGTCCGTTATAGACCTGTGTGTTTGTGCGCGTGCACGCATGCACCCACGTGCATGCGTTCAAGACAGTCTTGACTTCTTGTGACTGCCTGGTCAAACCTCAGCAGTTTTCTTGTCGAATCACAGCCCAGTCCACTGAACGTTATCCAATTGAACAAACTTCCAGCAGCTTCTTTGGATTGGATGGATTGATGCAGCTTTGATGACAATTTCAGTAATAACTCCAATAACTCATGTTTATATTATCAACAACTTGTAGTAATATAGGATCAGGTTGTTTTTTCCTCCTCTCTTAGAAAACATATGCTTTTAAACACAATTCCTCTCTCGTTCAACAGATTGTCCCAAAGCTGTTGGATGGGAAAAAAATCAAAAGGGGTGTATGGGCCCAAGGATGGTGAATTTAAGCGAATGCATGGACCCCAAAAGGTATATATCATTATAAGTCTTGATAAAATTAGTTTTCACTCTAAAAGATATGATGCACTATTGGAAGTATGGATACATCATATTGTTAAATAGAAAATTAATTCATAATTTCCTTTTGTCTTGGAGCATTTTCCCCAGTCATCTGTTTAGAGTGTTACATACGAATGTATCTTGTCTTTTTATGTACACTGAGAGCATATGCACCAAAGACAAATTCCTTGTGTGTCCAATCACACTTGGCCAATAAAGAATTCTATGCTATTTATGTCTTGTTGAGAAATAAAGTCAGGTGAAATGTGAATAAAAATTCAAATGTCGTATTAGATACCTGGGGTCTNCTTGGCAACTTGAAGATGTCCGGACTTCAACTCCCAGAATTCCCCAGCCAGCATTCGCTGGCTGGGGAATTCTGGGAGTTGAAGGCCAGACATCTTCAAGTTGCTAAGGTTGAGAAACACTGGCCTAGAATATAAACCAATCTCTTGAGATTCTATTGAAGTATTTGGATTCATTGAGGATGATGGTTAAGAAGGTGGGAGCCATTTCTGATGTTGAAAGAAGTCTATTTTCCTTTGATTCAAAGTGTAAGAATTCGATCAAATTACTCTTTCCAGGTTAATACCAAGTTCTGAAGTATTTATATAATTTCTCCCCTAGGATCTAAAAAGATACCGTTTCTATTACTGGTTTTGTTATCCTGCATTGTATGTCCCAGAAGGTATCCCTTTGGTTAAACAGCCAGTGCCTCTGAATACAAAGTTCTCTCCAGCTCAGGTAATTGAAAACATTACACAGCTATAGTAGCCTAGCACACATAGTACTTTTCATAAGATAGAACATAAAATAGTGTATTACATCATTACTAAGCGCAAACACGGTAAATAGTGCTGTATGGATTTTTATATCCACCTCTGCCTGGATGAAATGGGGAATCAGTTTTCGAAACTCTCTTCATTATCTCAGTGACTGACAGGGTTAAATGGGTACTTAGAAAAGACTTTTTCAAGAGAGATATCTCCATTATAAAACTGTATCCTAACAAAATATGCTACACAAACACTTCTCTTCTACTTCAGTGAACTGTTATTTCTGGCTAGTTTTTTGCTGGAAGAAATGTTTAACAGAATTTGTGATCTTTGTCCCCATTGGGAGTTGTAGGCATAATCTTCTTCTTTTATCACAGGGTCTTGTGAGATTTTTAATGCTATTTGTTTTTCATGTTCTCTGTTTTTGCTCTGTTGCTCATAAAGTTAGGGTGTAAAGGTATAAAATGGGTTTCTGTCCCTAAATTCAGTAGAGTTGAAATTTGTAAAATTCTCATAGCTCAGAATGTGACTGTTAGCCTGATCAAAGTCTCCTTAAATTGGGAGCAGCTGAACCTGACCCATAAAGAAAACAGTCATTTAGTTTATCATAGTCTTAGACCTGTACAAGAAGTATGTCCATCTGTAAATGCCTATTTATCTGGTCATGACCATCATTCATTCCATAACTTTGGTCGCAACCCGATTTGGTCGTGACCCAAAACCTAACCAAAATTAATGCAGCGGCCACATGAGGTCACTGTTGTTTGGCGCTTCCAAAAAAAATGGTGCGGAAGGGGAAATTGGCCGCGGCCGTGTTTGATCACCACTTGAATATGTGTTTGTGACCAGATTGAAAACTTTTGTGAATTTCTTGGTCAGAACCTGATTTGGTCGTGGTCAGAAGCGCTCATGGCCAAAGGTTTTCCTGTACCTCAAGATACTAGTATATAAAATTTGAGATAAAATTAAAATACATCTATTAAACAACCTGACCAGGTGTGAATAAGAGCCAAAAGGAATAGTCTATCTCTAAGCTATAAATATGATAGTATCTACATAGTAATTACATAAAATTAGAAAGCAGTAGCTGGACATAGGCCAAGTTTGAGTGATCAAGTAAATTCTTGAGTTATAAAGAAGACTTTTTCCTCTTCCCTGTTTTTGGTGTTGGCAACCCACTGTGCATTACGTGGTATCTCAAGAGCTGCCAGCATTTCAGAGGAGGAGAAGCTGTACTCATGGGACAGTTCTTTTTTTTTAAAATTGAATCCTAACTGTAAAAAATCATTTCCAGTGTGAAAATAGGATTTTCTCTCACAAGGCTTGTAAATCTGAAGAACGACCTGTTTGACCATTTGCAGGGATTTTATAACACACATCTAATACAACGGTTCTGCAGAATTTATTTTCTTGAAAAAGGTTAACGTTACTCAGTGCTACAAACAGCAAGTGATTCCTGGTGGCAGTTCAATATCTGGGGTAATATAAATTAGATAATATAATTGGTGATTAATAATTGAGATGGCAGATTGGTCTCTCGACATTCTTAAAGCGCCACAGGAGGCTAGTTGCTTGCTTGACCTCATTACGCAAGGCAGGGCTGATTTTTTTCTCTCTTCCATTTTTGGGTGGGAGCCGGCTCTAGAAGAAAGATTTGTTTTCTGATTCTTAAATTCCCCACTCCAGCTTTTTTTAAAAAACCTCTGGTTGCCATTTTTAAAAAGGTTTGGGATTCTTTAAAGGGTAAAGAAATGCATTGGGTAAATGGAGGTGGGGCGGTTTTATAGCCTGTTTCCAAGGGCTTTTCTAAAATTGGAGCACCCACAGTTCCAGGTGAGCAGCTCACAAACCTCTTGTTTGTATCTGCTTCTAGACCAGGGCTGTCAAACTCCCGGGCCAGATGTGTCCTGCGCTGGCCACGCCCAGTTTAGCAAAGGGGGAAAAACTCCCTATACGTCACGTGATGCCACTGTGATGACATGAGTTTGACACCCCTGTTCTAGAACGTCTGGATAGTTAAACTCTGTTCACTCTTCTCAGTACTTATTAGATGAATAAGATAGACCTAAATGAGAAATATACCATTCAGACCTAAAGATACTTCTGTTAGTAGTAACCAATTTTGCAAATGTGAATATGCTTCCCTTGCTTGCCTTATTTATCTTCAGGATAATTAAGAAGAGGGAGGTGCCTGAGGTGTTTTCATAACCCACTTTCTTGGCCTGCTCTGAAGCATTGTTTATCTGATTGTTGCTTTGGTAGTGGTTCTTTCCTCTGTCCATCAAGGCCACCCACTTTAGTCATCACAGCACTGGAAATCATCTCCTACATGGAATTTAAGATGCAAAATACTGCTACAGTTTGCTAATTAGGTTTGGCATATTGGAAGATGCAGATGCTCTCCTGGGAGCTGAACTTTGGCAACATCTGAAAGAATGAATGTTGTGAGCCCTCTGCAGTGCTGCTTCATTTGCCTTAACTTACTCTGTAGCTTTAAGGCCTGTTTCCTGTTTAAGGTCAATATCAGCTCTGATATTGATATTAATAAGCCCACCAGGGGAGTTGGTGGTCTTGAAGTATCCCAACTGCTTCTTGCTCTTCAAACATTTTCATCTTAATGGTTTTTTTTAAAAAAAAATGCTTTACATTGGCTTTTGTTTTTTTATTCTGAGCTGTAATGAGTATTATTTTCTTTTGCATTTTCTTTTGCTGATTAGTTTTACCTTTTCAGTTAATCTTTTTTTTTAATTATTACTAGTAGTTTAAGTTGATTTTTAGCCTCTCTGAGTTCTCTAAGTGAACAAATGCAGGAATATTTTAGTGTAAAGGAAAATGAGTTAATTGTCTCTTGTCTTTTTTCAGACTGAAGCCCTCCAGAATTCATATGATCAACTTTGCCAGAAAGAAGGTCTTACAGCCCTGCCTTATTTTTTAATTAAATGCCATGAAGATTCAGTCCACGTATCCTTACTTAGGAACTGGGATGACTTTTTTTCTGATCAACAGGGCAAGGTAAAAAAAAAAAAATACACAGATGAGCAAAATACAGAGCACTGAAATTAACATTCCCATAATTTCTAGAGCATTCCATTCTTAATGAGGGGATAGAGGAAAGAGAGTAAAATTGGGTGGATATTTGAAAAAGGAGTCTGTAAGAAGTTATGATTTTGAAAATAAAAGATTTCGCTGAATTCTGAATGTATTGTTCTTGGGTTTTAGGTTTTAGCTAAGTCAAATGTGGATACCTTGGATTTATTGGGTTTTAGCTTTCTAATCACAAATATACTGCTTAAAGATTGATTGGAAGGGTTTTAGGCAGTGCAGAAAAGGATGAATAGGTTATATGACCATATCACTTAGAATTTCCTCAGGCCAATTTCACAAATGGAAATTAATTACAAATAAAAACACGGAATTTGTGCCATTCTCTGGATTTTTGCTAGGGTTAATTTGCTTGCTTGGAAATGTACGATGTGGTTACGGGGTAATATGTGAAGAAATTGTTCTATTCACTTAATTTGGGTCTTTTGTAGATTAATACTCTAGTCTGGTTTATCTATACATACATACAATTAGCAACTTTTGGACTATCAGTGTTAACAAATAATAGTCTTATGTTTTTTTTTCCTTCGCAGGTGACATTTGGTGTTTATGACCCCTGTAATTTCATCCAATATCCAGGATGGCCACTGAGAAATATGTTGATCCTTGCAGCGCACAGATGGTATTTATTATTAGGTGAAGCCTTGAACATGGTTTTTCCATGGTTGCAATCCTAAACATGCACTGTGAAGTTAATCGCAGTAAATTTGGTAGAGCTTATTTTTCAGTATAGGATTAGACAGCATCTATTACAGTACAAATATTATAGCTTACCCCAGTACTAAAGGACTCTGTGGTGGGAAACAGCAAAGTCCAGAAATATGCATTAAAATCATATAAATAACAATTTCAAATATATTTTTAAAAAACTGGTGTATAAGAAGTGGTATTTGTGTAAGCTAAGTATTAAATGTCCTTCGGGGGGAAAAAACCTTTGATTTGTTTTTTGAAAGTATCTTACAGTAGCAACTATCCAAACCTCTGGGGCCAATGTGTTTTTTGTAACCAAAAGCTAATACTGAGCTACACAATCCTCTCTACACAATCCCTAGTTCATGTTCTGGTTTGCCTTAATGACTCATCTAAAGCAGATCAAAGCCTCGGCAGAATTTAAATAAGGACCTTAGTTACCATCAGAAACTGGCTTATGCTAGGCACTTACCATTTAAGGAAGAAATTTTCTCAGATTCCATGTTCGCATGGTCAATTCCTAGGTATCAGCTGTTCCAAAAATTCTTGCTGTGTAATATCCCGCACAACATGTTGGTTAAATGAATAGATTGTAAAGTAACAATCTAATTTCACTCAACAATTAATTTTTGTTTTTGCTTTCCTGAAACACTTTTGGTGATTATGATAGACCCCTTCAAACTGAACACAAATATAATGTTAGAATAACTGTATCACATAGGACTCTTAAGAAATATGATACTATATTTTATTGACTGTAATGCATTTAATCACATGTGATTAAAAGTGCATTCAGTTTTGGTCGCCACAATGTAAAAAAGATGTGGAGACTTTAGAAAGAGTGCAGAGAAGAGCAACAAAGATGATTAGGGGACTGGAGGCTAAAACATGTGAAGAACGGTTGCAGGAACTGGGTATGTCTAGTTTAATGAAAAGAAGGACAACGGGAGACATGATATTAGTGTTCCANGTCTATATTATAGGACAGCATTATCTGGGCAGATTAATAATAGGCTGGGAGAACTGAAGCCTTTAAAGTGAATGGAAATGTTTACATTGTGAGAGGTTTGTTTGTTTTGGCAAGGCACAGTCAATTGTGCATTATCTCTCCATAAGGCAGGTGTGCAGCTCAAGGAACAGATACAATTCAATTTTCCATTAGTATAAGACCTCAAGTATTGTTTATGTTTCTTTTTCCAAAAAGTGACCTCTATTTCCATTTATACAGTCTGTTTAACCAATGCCTTAGTCTGCTACAACTGGAGTGTTTTCTGTAACAGCTGCTTAAGATTGAAGTGAGCATGACTCTGACTCAACAATGATTCTAAATGTGGCTGGAGATAACACTTATTTTCTCAGTTATATGCAATAATTATTCTGCCTTAAAACAAACAAACAAAAAAGAATGGGATGGAAAGAGTTTTGAGGGTGCTGCATATTTTTGTCTTGGCCTTCAAAAGCCTTTTGCTTGCCTTGTGATGAGTCTGTGTATCCTTCTCCTTTGTTGTGTTTCTTTTAGAAGGCTGAAGGTTTTAACATGAGCATCCCAATGCCAGGTCACCCTGTGAATTTTTCTGAAACAACCTTGCAGCAAGCGCAAAAGGATGTGGCTCAGCTGGAAAAGCTGATTGATGGTCATGATGTCATCTTTTTGCTAATGGACACCAGGGAAAGTCGATGGCTTCCTGCTGTCGTCTCAGCCAGCAAGAGAAAGGTATCACATGTACATTTCCCACAGGCAGTACTAAAATGGGAGGGGGTGGGTTGACAATGATTTTTTGAAAACATTTTCATTAAGTGTACTGAACAGTGTTTTTCAATCTTGGCAACTTGAAATTGTAGGGGAGGGGTGCAAAACTGGTGCCCCATGGGAAGTATGCATCACGACCACCCCAGCTCTGTGAAGGGGAAAACAAAGTAGAAAAACATCACATGACACTGCGAGCTTGACATCCGTGATGTAGGGATTCCACTAACAAACTTCTTCAGTCAGCATACTGATCAGGGAATTCTGGGGGATTGAAGTCCACACATCTTCTAAGTGGTTAAGGAAGAAAAACAGTTATAGAGTTTATTTTTTTACAGGTGAAACTCGAAAAATTAGAATATCGTGCAAAAGTTCTTTTATTTCAGTAATACAACTTAAAAGGTGAAACTAATATATGAGATAAGACTNCACTCTAAAAGATATGATGCACTATTGGAAGTATGGATACATCATATTGTTAAATAGAAAATTAATTCATAATTTCCTTTTGTCTTGGAGCATTTTCCCCAGTCATCTGTTTAGAGTGTTACATACGAATGTATCTTGTCTTTTTATGTACACTGAGAGCATATGCACCAAAGACAAATTCCTTGTGTGTCCAATCACACTTGGCCAATAAAGAATTCTATGCTATTTATGTCTTGTTGAGAAATAAAGTCAGGTGAAATGTGAATAAAAATTCAAATGTCGTATTAGATACCTGGGGTCTTATTTAAAAACAGTTGTTGTTTTTTTTAAAAAATGTGCTCATTCTCTTGTTTCTCTTAGGACAGTGTTGTAGAAAAAGACCCTACATTGAGGGAAAATGTTATAAATAATATAATGTGACAGTGCATATACTTTCATGTATACATCTGCTTAGAAAAACTAGCTATGAATTTGACAGCTAATCTCATTGTAGAGCACTGGTGTAATATTAATATTTTGGCATGAACCTTTAAAAATGCAGACGCATTAGTAACTATGGATTCCTTAATTGATAATATTCCTTTGAGTAGGTCTTTGGATTAATACATAGCCCTTATAGTATGATTTTTCACTTTTAAGAGGAAGTATTTGCCTGGGGTCCTGAATACCAATATGAATAATTATTATTTAGCTGGGAGTGTTAAAGTAAATTATGCATTCAGTTTTTTCTATTTGGAGATAAAACTTCATTTAATATAACATTTTTTAAAAAAATTCATATTCAGGCTAGCAGAGTCATCTGTGGATCTTAACCTTAAATTGATGTGCTGGCGGTTAGTACCTACTCTTGATCTGGATAAAGTTGTATCTGCAAAATGTCTTCTTCTTGGAGCTGGTACATTGGGTTGCACTGTAGCCAGAACTCTGATGGCAAGTACTAAAGATAATCTGTTCTTAATATTTCTCAGTTTGGAAGGAACTCTTAATGTTTTTAATATTTCCCTAATTTGAAGGAAAAACCTGTGTCTGTAAGCTGATGTTTCTCTAGTGTACTAAATTGTATGACTTAGTGCTTAAATAAAGCATCAGAATGAGAGAAATATAACACACTAATACAGTTGTATAAATGTATTCTTGTTATTGTCATTTTGCTACTTTATTTTATATCATAATATTATAATTTTTACAGTTGCAATATCATTCTACTTGTAAATTTTAGTGAAACAGAGTTAGCTATTAATTATTTTTTAATATTTATTTTGTAGTTTTCTATAAAACTATGGTGCACCATTCTCATTTTTTTTCATTTTAAATCTTAGAGTCTTAATGATGTTGGTATCATGATTTTAGTATGATACTGTATAGCATAATATAGGTAGCCCTCCACTTACGACCACAATTGAGCCCCAAATTTCCACGCTAAGCAAGACAGTTGTTAAGTGACTTTTGCTCCATTTTGCAACCTTTCTTGCCACATTTAAGTGAATCGCTACAATTGTTAAATTGTTAACATGGTTATTTAGTGATTCTGGCTTCTCCATTGACTATGCTTGTCAGAAGTTTGCAAAAAGTGATTATATGACCCCAAGACACTACAACTTGACAACCAGTTGCCAAGTGTCTGAATTTTAGATCAACTGATTATGGGCATGCTGCCATGGTCGGAAATGTGAAAAATGGTCATAAGTCACTTTTTTCAGTGCCATTGTAACTTCAGATGGTTACTAATCAAATGATTGAAAATTGAGGACTACCTGTAATTTTAATGATATTGGCAGCATGATTTTAAAATGTAAGTAACCTACATTTTTCACATACTATATAGGTTGTGCTTCTATCACAATGGATGGCTATGATTTTATCATTGGATGTCTATGGAGATTCTCAGTCATCCAGGTCATGGTTGTCCCAAAAGTGCTTTCTCAAGAGGCAAATGGACTTTCTGGTTTTTCTTTGAAGACGTTTGACTTATCATCCAAGATACTTCTTGGAGCAAAACGTCTTCAACGAAAAAACAGAAAGTCCAGTTACCTCTTGAAAAAGCAGCTTGGAGTCAACCATGACCTGGATGACTGAGAATCTCCATAGTTTATCATTGAATGTTATGATGGTGTTTTGGTTGATGACCAGGATAAAAATAAAAGACACACTTAATTCTGTATTGTTTTGTTTGCAGTAGATTTTTAGCATATTGATTTTGACATTATGAAAGTAAATTCCTTTCAGAGTCGCCAACAATTGAAAGAAGTGCCCTGAAACCCATCTGGTCTCCTTTTATCTGTTTTTTGGTTCATTCAGTCATTGTCAAAGCAATATAACTGCAGTTTTACCTTGTCTGATGTTATAGTACGATTGATTTGTGGAGCTGGCACAACGTGCAATAAGTTCTCATGGTGCAATTCTACTGGGTCTATGTTAGCAGGATTCACCAGGTTAGGGATTTTTTGTTTGTTTTTCGCTGTGAATTGTATTGTGTTGGAGGGGTGCACGAAGGGAGACTCAGCCAATCTGATTGTACACACGTTTATACTCTGACAATAAAGGTTTGAAATTGTTTGAAATTGAAATAACTGCAGTTTTACTTTGTCTGCTGTCATGCCATTAAAAGCAATATTACATGAGAAGTCCTCAATCACGAGGCTACAAACAATGCTGATATCAATAGGCCAGATAGATGAAGAAAGGAATTATGATTAATTTGGCCAATTGTGGTTTCAGATACTCCTTAGCAGTATGTAAATGATACAATAAGGAAGGCAGCATGACAACATATTCTCCTTCGCAGCTGATGTCCCGCTCTCTTACTCTGATTCTCAGTCCTGGGAATAGCCAGTGTTGAGTAAGCTACAATTTTTTTCAGTATTTAAGTAATTAGTTATGTTGGGTACCTTTTTCTTCAGGGCTGGGGAGTCAGGAAGATTACATTTGTGGACAATGCAAATATCTCTTATTCAAACCCTGTGCGTCAACCACTCTATGAATTTGAAGATTGCCTTGAGGGTGGAAAGTCCAAAGCAGTTGCAGCAGCAGAGAGACTTCAAAAAATATTCCCTGGAGTGGTGAGTAAATGAATATGATTTAATGATCAAAACTCATATGTGCTTGAACCAAAGCCAAAGATTGCTCTTATGTTTGTTCTTCAAAAAAGAACTAAACCACAAGAAATAATTGCTGTGATTTAATGACTGACAGGTTTTTACAGTAAAGAGAAACTGCATTTAAAGTTGCATTTTGCAAACCCAAAACAAAAAGGAGGTGTAGGAGCAGATTTATTTTGGAACTGGTGATAAATCAGCCGTTTACCTTTTTGCTCAAGGATGAGACAAAGCGCACATGAAAGGATAATGACGACGATAATAACAAAAAGAAGAACAATGATGTTCTCTATTTAATGTCTGAGACCAAGAAAGAATTAACACAGACCAGTAAAATAAAATGATACAGATACATGCATCTGATAAAAATAAAATGAAATAAAACAAAAATGAAAAAATAATATAGTAGGAAATGGCAATAATTCTGCAGAACTAAGCTGCAATTTTGTAAGGATTGCTTGTAAAAATCAGTTGAACATCAACATTTTTGCTAGCAAACAAAGACTTTGGGGAAATTGGTTATTCCATAATGGAGGAGGAAAATGAAGATGGCAAAAGGATGACTTTATATACCACCCTTTCCATTTTCTTTGTATTCACTTCTTGATAATATTACTTTTCTTGATAAAATCAGTTTATCAGAGTAATATAAGGTAAATTAGTACCTTCTTTTTCCACTTACGACAGCTATACGTAGGTTAATAATGATTTGGTTTTGAATGCTTCACAAGGTAGATGCTGCTCAGTTCATTAGTACAGTTCATGCATACATCTTGCAATTAAAATGCGTAGAGTACAATGTTGCTAATTTTGAAGAAAGTGGATGCATGCTGTACATCAAAATTATCTAACCTTGACAACTTTTAAGATCTGAGGACTTTTGAGTCCTAGAATTCCCCAGCCAACCATACTGGAGTTAAAATCCGCAGGTCTTAAAGTTGCCAAGGTTGGACATCCCTGCTGTACAAGGAGCATGAATGGGAGGGATTTCCTGCAAGGAGAAGTCCTTATCTCTTCCGTGCAGGAGGAGGTTTTAGCAAAGAGTTAAGCTGAGAGGCAGGAGCAACAATAGGAAGGTGAACTTGGGAAATCATGCAGCAAAGGAAGCTATAAAATAGAAGCCTGATTCTTTGAATGCTTTGGTGACATAGATTGAAAGGGCCGTGCAGAGTTTGGTTTTCAGAATTCCTTTTCAATGAGCATCTTCCACAAATGCCGGTTGAGTGTAAACATCTTGGCTTAATGAAAACATGACATCATTTCATGCTACTGTTAGATTGTTGTATTGACTGAATTTG